CCCAACTTGCTGCCCCCTCTGGCCCCCAGTGTGTGGTTTGGGGTGAGTGTGAGGGAGGAATAGGGGGTCCCAAGCAGCCCCTTGAAGGCTGGGACTCTTCCAGCCTGCATGGAAAAGCCACAATTTCCCACCCTTTTCTCCTTTAAAGGAGAATCCATTTTTAAAGTTTGTTGATCCATTTTTAAAGTTGGTTCGCAACCCTTTCCTATATTCTCATGACCTGCAGGTTGAGAAACGCTACCTTAGACAATGCAGTAAAAAAAAATTTTCTGCTTTAAGAAAAAAAAATAGACAGGCCAAGCATAGCAGGGGCCTGAACCCTGTTACTCAGACACAAGGGGGGGAGGAAGATTTCATCCATGTACCCAGGGCCTGTGCCAAAGGAGGTCACAGGTCAGGGGTCAGGGAGCTTTAGCAGATGGCATCTGGGAGAGGACTGCAGGAAATGAGGGGAACAAGAGTACAAGTGGCTAAGGCCTCTATAAAAGAATCAGACTGTGGACTGAATAACACCTGCAAGGCATGGGTATGGCTGTACGACTGGAAAGAGGCCATGGATTTAGCTCTTACAGCACATAGGGCCCGAGGGAATGACTAGAGAGAGACAGACAGACAGCCAGAGCACCTCGGCTCACCAGCCTCTCCCTTATTACTTTCAACAAGGCGGGTGAGGAAGCAGGGCAAGACCCTAGGAGGCAGGAGCAAAGGCCTGGCAGGATCAGGGTGGCCACTAGGGAGCATCACAGCAGCCCTCAGGCCCCAATCCTGTCACACCAAGTCTCTGCCAAGAACTGCAGGTGGTAAGTCAACAAGCCACTTGCGTCTCAGGAGCCATTTTCTGAGCGTCCCTGCCTCAGGCCTATTTAGTTTTTGCTGGAGGCTCAATATCTGTGGGATCAGCCCTGGTTTGGAGGAAAGCCCACTGTGGGGAGCAACAGGAAGTGAGACCAGGCCCAATTTATGAACCTACCCCTTTTGGGGACAAGAAGCCTAGCTATTTTCAAAGAGGCACAATACCGTTCTCTGAAGAGGGCAGTTACTCAGGCTGCAGAAAAAGCTAAGAGATGCAAACAGATCAGACAGAAGCACTTCCATTTACCACACTCATCTGCAAAAGCCTTCCTAGTAGCAACCTCTCCAGGAAAACTGCCCTTTTTATAGGAACCTCTAAATCTTAGATGCCATGAGCTGTACTCATCCTTTCTGTCCATGAGCTGTATTTTCTCAGAGTCCTGACTTGCCAGAAGAGGGGTGGATCAGACGGGTCTTGGCTCTTTCCTTGAAGGATGCTGGGGCGGGGGCATGAGTCGTCCCTTTTGGGTTCTGAAAGGGTCAGCATCACCCAAGAAAATGAAGAACCCCCTAGAGAGCTTTCACGATGATGCCTCCCTTTTCATTCACACCTATGAAGGTTCGTCTCCCTGATGTCGACCCCTAACTATTCCCAGAAATAGGCACAGGGCTCTAGGATTGCCTCCACAAAGACTGTGCCTCCACACCTCTGCCCCTTCCCCTATGGCAGTGTGGCTCTAATACAGGAGGATCCAAGTTGCAGCTGCTTCCAGAAAATGTCCTGAAAGCCACCTTGCTGTGGAGAGGGATGTGAGAATGAACAGGTGCTACTTTACCTTGATTTCTGCAACACTATAGAGGAGACAGTGCATTTCCTGCCAGGCCTGCCCATATCCTCCACTATCTTGTACAGATTTCTATACTTTTACGCTGTCTGATAAAAGTGGAAGAGTGCTGCTGAGAAATCTACTGATTCCTTTCCAGGCAGAAGAGTTTGATCTTGCCTTGAAAACTGATACCATATTCTCTTTGGTCTAAGTATCCCATCCATTCTCCAGGATTTATGGGTAAACACATTAAAGTACCTTTATTAATCCTATAACATACAATATCAACAAACACATTTCTGAGATGCCCATCACAGAAATGTCTGGATACTCTTAATATCACACCTATTTCTTAAGTAGCTGTATTAAATCTTACACACCAGAAAATAGCAAAATTCATAATTAAACAAGTGCCAGTTACAGACTTGCAGGAGACTAGCTAATATCCAGTCTATAAAATGGTAGCTGCTGTAGGAGATGTCCTACAGAGAAGAGGTCTATTGCTAGTGAAAAGCACAACCAACTTTATCACTTTTCTCTGCTAGGAATCATTCCTTCTTTAGCTAGCACAGTTCCTGCAAGTCCTTAGCTAGGGTTACCATACGTCTGGGTTTTTCTGGGCATGTCCTCTTTTTGGGTCCCCCCATCTCTGCCCATGTGTTTATTTTAAATATGATCAAATGTCCGGGATTTTGGTCAGCTCAGCTTTGAAGTTTTTCCCAGATTGCCCTAGCAAGGAGCTGCTTGGGCTGGGAGGAGAGTGATTGGAGGCATGGTGCACATGCACGTGGCTAGCATGCAGCCAAGTAGCGGGGTGGGAGAAGCCCTGGCAGCTGCATGCAGGTAAGTCTAAGAGGTGCTTGGGGACTGTTCAGGTGTATGTGTGTGGGGGGGGATGGAGGTGGGCAGGGGTGTGTGGAGGGTATGGATCTGAATGGGGTGCCTTCAGAGGCAGCAGAGAGCTGTCTGGCCAGGCTGGCAGCGCTGGGGCAAGTGCCCTTGTTCACAGGGTGGGGCAGCTGGGAGATGCTGCAAGGCAGGAGGGTGGGGGGGCTGTGTTTTAGGAGTAAGGGGCACTGGGCAGGTAGGGGACTGTGGGGCAGGAGTAAGGAGCACCAGCATGGCCCAGGGGGGCAGGGTACCACAGGTTGGGAGTAAGGAGCACTGGTAGAGCCAGAAGTCTGTGGGTTGGGAGTGAGGGGCAGCAGCAAGGCTGGGAGAGGTTGTAGCTTGGGAGCAAGGGGCAATGAGATGGGCAGGGGCAAGGCATCAGCATATCACTGCCCCCCACAATCATATACCCCCTCCCCTCTGCACAGCAAGTGTCCTCTTTCTGGAACTGGAAATATGGTAACCCTACCTTAGCTACCTTGTAAGGAAAGCAGAGGAAAGTGTTATTTCTGGGTAGTGGGCCTGATGGCTTTGCAAGGAAGAAGAATGACTGAAAAGCTCTAATCACAGCATGATAAGTGGTTCTGGAAATACTGCACAACTCCTAGAATTACTAAACCAACAAAAATGAAATTAAATATTGCCTCTCTGATTTGACTAGAGCATCAAGCCAGGAGCAAGGATCTAATCCCAACTCTGCCTGTAGATGCTTACAACAAGTAACTTCATCTCTGCCTCATTTTCTCTATTGCAGAATGGAGCACTGGTCTACACATTGAGTTATGCTAGTTTAATTTAATGATTTATTTTGAAGTAGTTTAACTTGGTGCATATGGTGTGTGCATATTTTTATTTCAAGTCAAACCAGCTTCACTGCAGTTTACTTTAGAACAATTAGGAAATTTAAGGTAAACTGAAATAAGCCGCTCTTAAAGTGAAAAAGAAGAGTGTCTGCACAACATTTTGCCCTGCTTTAAGGGCTTTTCTATAGGTTTTTTATACAGCCGTGAGTCTCACCCATATGAACACACTGATACAAGTACAGTTTATTCCCATAAATTAAGGGAAATAAACTACAGCAGCATATGGCAACCGTATCAATATAACTGCATCAATACCAGGGGTTGTACTGATCTAAACTGTTCAGTAATTAATCACCCCCACAACTTAAATACGAAGACTGTGAAGACCAGGCCTAAACCTCCATAATTAAACCACTACAAATCTCTGCCTAAACAAACTATCAGGCATACTGTGAGGGTTACCATATTTACTTGTTTATAACATGCACCCCTCCCCCAATTAACTGCTGGGAATGGGGGCGTGTATTTTAAATGAGGAAATGTGGGGAGCAGAGGGCTTGATCCTGTGGAAGCTAAACTGTCCATCAAGCTGAGTGGGCAGCCAAGTGGCCCCTGCTTAGTCAGCTGAAGACCAATCCTACTGGAACTGAACTGCCTGGGGCCTTAGACTTGGGTGGGCCCTCAGCTGACTCTGCATGTGCTGCTGGCTGAGCTGAATTACCTGGCAGCCCCTCTTCTCTTCTGGAGCCAGGTGGGCATCCAACAGCACTTGCTGTGTCTGGCAGGTGCCGGTTAGTTCCAATAAACAGAGTTAATAGAGTAGATGCAGGTCTTTGCCTCACACACACACACACACACACACACACACACACACACGCACGCACACCACCTTTCTCTTCCCTGAGAAACTACTGTACCTACTGGTATTTTCAAGAAAAAATCTTTTCTCTTCATCCCACCATTTTAAAACAAGGTGCATGTCTTATTCAAGGGCATGTAGTATGCAAGAAAATACTTCCGTTGTTTATAAAGCACTTTGCATAGGTAAAATCCTACTCAAAATGCTAAAAATGTATTATTCATGTTGTCAGAAGTCAGATTATACTTGGGTGCTTCCACAGCATATAAAAGCAGAGGACAAGAGGACATGACAACTCTCAAGGACTTAGGCAGCAGCATTCCCTAACAGATTGCAGGGATGCTCCAGCCACCTGCTCTACGAAGTAGAATATTCATTGAAGTACCTAGGAATGGGGAGGATGCAGAGTCAGCAGTGTGGACCAAGTACAATGAGAGCTTTTTGCTACAGCTTGTCAAACAGAGTATCCACAGCAAACCTTCCCTGTAGAGTAAGTCATCCTCGGGCTAGGGAGATTTTTTCCTTAGAGATTTCAGGATCATGCCAGAATACACCTGCAGCTGTGCTATAATGAAAAGTCACAACTGAGCCCTATCTTTTCATTATTGCTGCTCCTAAAGTCTGTTTGGACTACATCCTAGGACCTTGCGATCTAGCAAGTCAGGCTGACCAGATAAAAGTGAATGGATTTCAATCAAAATAGCTTTGGAGGAGCAAATCAAATAGACTGCAGTTCATCTCATAAATGCTGTGTGTGTTCAGCACAATTTAATGACTGGAAGTTTGAGCATGAAGTATTCCATTTAAGAATAATAACCATGTGTGGTGAGCATGAAGGCGCAGAGCCCAGATTTAATTAATGTAGTTTTGTATTTTGAAAAGCAATATTAAAAAACACTTGAAAATGCAAGATAACTGTAACAGTTGCTTCTACAAGTTTTAACCTTATATTGCTTGGCCATTTTGACATATAAATTATTGCTTACTAGCTCTTATAAATACACAGCACAGTAATATGTACAAAGGCAGACAAGCATGAAACATGAAAAGGAAAACGTTGGCAACAGTGATTCTGGTAAATCAGACTATTTCATACATACCAGTTCTCATAACGGTGGATAACTACTAGCTGTAGTCCCTGAGAAGTTAGGTAAATACCTTGATTTGGGGTTTTCTATTTTATTATTTTAAATGCAAGCTGACAGCATTATGGCACACCTGTTAAAGAGACTATAACAAGCAGGTGGTCTTACCTCAGTTCACTGACTTCATCCCAGTATTTCTTAACAGTATAATAATAATACAATAAATAGGCTATGCAAATAAATATTACTCTGCTAAAATGTTTAGTATTTACATCTTTCTTTGCAATTTTACAGCAGGACATTTTTAGTTTGTTTTTGGCAGGAGATCCTTCGTTTCTTTTTTTCCACTGGTATCTAGACACAATCAATTACTATGTGAAATTGGGCTGAAAGCCTAAGGACACGTTACAGAAGCATCTAAATTCTATGAAGCAAAAGCCCACTTCAAAGAGCTGGAGAATGACCCCACATGTTCCCTGTTTTGTCTAATATCTTCTCCCAACATATAAGAAACACACGCACATAGTTTAACTTTGTCTGTGTAGTTGTATTAGACTGAGCTTGGAGATTTACAGTATTTTTTAGGAATATCATAACAGCACTACTGTTTTGTGGGGAGGGTGTAGTTACTAAAAAGTGTGCTCTGCCCATATCGAGAGATGTGGGAGAAGCTACACACCACCACCCCTTTTCTTTCATCCTGCTGCTTTTTAGGCCTCCTCCTAATCTTCTTGCCTTCATGTGCATGGCAGTCTCAAATCAGGTCCGCAACATTTTAGCCATAGAACAAGGATTCTAACAAACCTTTATTTTCTGGATAGTTCTGTTGCAGATTCAGAGCAGTTTCCCTTTTATTAGTACTATAGTTCCATGAATAATAGTTTAAGCACAGAAGCAAACCTTGCCCTTCAGAACTGAAGATATATTTAGATAATAAAGGCCATCATAAAAAACAATTTGCATTGTTTCATTGCACTTTTCAGCATTTCAGACAATTATACCTAACATTACAATGTTTGGAACTTGGTGCTTAGATGACAGATTTTTTCACCTGCAAACATTAAGCCAGGTGTGAAAAGCAGGAGCTTGTTTTTGTACTGCTGTAGTTGCACCAGCAGGGAAGGAGCATAAGCTATTAAGGTTATTATAAATTAACAGATGAAAAGCTGAAAAGAATTGAGACTCAGGCCCAGTTCTCTTCCATTACTCACAGAGAGCACTACGTCCTGTGAACAAGGGCTCACAATCTGATCTACATACTGATTTGTGAAAGCAGTGCCATGATGAAAAGATTTCACAAGAGGGGGCTAAAGAATCAGCTAATGTCTTGGTTAATGAATCTTGGGTGGGGATTTAGTGAAAATCTGAGAAAGGAAAAATTAAAAAAACCCCAAGAAATTAACATTATATGGGGTTTATGTTCTACACTACAAAAATGAGTCCACTAAATTTAGTGTCCTGACTTGAACAGTTTTGGTCTGTTTGCACAGAAGAAATATTTACAGTATGTGCAATCACATCTACAGAAGAACATAGGAAATTTTTACTCCATGGCCAGCAAGAGTTTATTTATTTTTTTACTGGGTAAAAAGAACTATTTAAAAAAAATCATATAGTATTTGATAATACCAAAGTACAAGCAAATACATTGTGAAACATCTGTTTCTTTTATACAGTAACTGTACAATATTTCACATATGGAGGCAAACTGAATGCATCCAATGACCTCCTCTTCAAATTACTTGTTAAATCTGCTTTTTCTGTCCCCTTTAAACCACAGATCAAAAGATGATGAAGAACATGTAACTTTAGCCACTTTAGTGGACCCACACTACAACAATGGATCATTTTCCTGAAAGACTTTCTGATGTGAAAAACAGACAATATAGATAGACAGCCAAGCAGTGTACCCTCACTGCCACTGTAAAGGGACTTTTTGAAGTAAGGCTCTACAAACAGATTTTATTTATATAGTGAAGAATATTGCACTGTCTATAGCTTATTTCAGCTTATTTGAGGGCAACTTCTTAGTACTGAAAAACAGCATTATCATCATAGCAGCAGGACATTGACCCCTGTGGTCCCTTGATTTACCTGTGGCAGGTTAGGGTGTTATGCCTTGTGTTGTGTTTGTATAGGATGGTTTACTAAGGCAGGGGGCTGGACTAGATGATCTATGGAGTTCCTTTGCAGCCCTACTCTTCCAGGATTCTATGAGGAGGCAACTCAGACAAGAATAAATATGAATGTGATTTTAAAGCACGTACTAAGATAACAAATAGTTCTTTGATTTATCTAAATGAAAACTGGGTTTGGATGAAATATAAAATAGGAAGATGCTTTCCCTTTAATTTTTTCTATGTATTGGGAATGACAGTGTGTAATACATGAAGTATGGCCCTTTGTTCTTTCAAAGCTAAAAGCATCTGCTTGGTAAGTCAGATTTTTACATGTTAAAATAGGCTATTTTCTGTTTTATTGTGCTTTTGTAGAAAGTAGATGGATTTACGAGATATCTCCCAGTAGTTATACAAGAGACAATAGTTCAAGCAGTAAAGCACTGAGCTCTGTTGTAATAACCTACTGCACACTAATTGCAGAAATAAGTAACAATTCTAGGATAATTAGAAGGGGAGCAAATAGAGATTTTTCTCCCTAACCTACGTATTTTAGATATAGGACTCCTGCTAAAACATTGAGTTGAGGTCAAGTGCTATCAATCCCTCAAAAGAGGAAATGCCACATTTGTTTCCATAAACTGCATCAAGGTTAGATTTTTTCTTTACTATATCCTTGAAGTGAATTCTTAAGAGGAAGTAACATTATGGGCTGCTGTTTGCTTTTGACCTCCAAATCATGACACACAAGAGAGCTAATAATGGTGCATTGCTTTATACATGTTAGTTTTTATATTCCATTCTGAAATGTCAGCTGCTGTCTCAAATAAGATGCTCCCAGGGAAGTTAGGTGGATTGCACAGTATTTTTTGGCAACAGTCACTACTTTGGCAGCTTTCGATTAGCGAGGTACATTCTCTATCATAAGTTGCAACCCTTCATCACATGAAGTTGCTTGCTGAAACGTTTTGTTACAGTGATGTGATGCTTCCTTTCACCCTAATACTGTCAGAATCTGGACTGAAAGCTACACTGGACCAACAATATTTTCACAGAAATCAAGTCGCTGAGCTCAACGGATGCTGCTCATCACCTTCCTGATCTGGTGATAGATGGAAACAGCACTACCTTTGCCCTGGAATGCTGCAAACAACTTCTTTTCTTGTTCTGCTTGATTTTCCTGTGTATATTGTGGGAGCTACTGATAAAACTCAGTAAACTGTTCTTATATAGGGAAGCAACATGTTTGGCTTAAACATTCACTTAATTCAAAGTGCTGCAGTTACAAGGTTACATGAAGCTGTGCGTGCTCACACCCGAGGCTCTATCCTGTGAGAAAGCTCAAACAGTGTTTGCTGGTTGTCAATGACATGCAGGTGATGGACATATGGCTTCAGCTCTTGATGCTCTTTAGGAGGAACTTCAATGCCTACAATTTGAGAAGGAAAAAAGGAAATACCTCAGAGATCATTTTTATGACTTCTTGTTGCTTTGCATTATCATAAAGGCTGAGCCAAGGTCACAGGCTATTTCCATACATCTGGCCCCATTGTGCTAGGTGCTGCACAAATACAGAACAAAAAGAAGCTCAGTGACCAAAAGGACTTACAATTTAAGCTCCAGATACGAAATGGTGTTCTGATAGCAGGGAGTATGAGGAAATAACATGAACTTGCTGATTTGCAGAATAGGCAGTGGTTTAATCATGCCAGCAGCCTAACTACTGTCAAGTTTTTTCTGGGGTTTTTTTTTATGGTGAGAGGGTTTAAGGAAAAGTATGAATGAGAACAATGGTTTTGCAAATGTTTACAGCACCTGCTCCCCAGTGTGAGGGGCAGAATAGGAGAAAGAATGCTGGTGCTTGTTCAAAAATGTAAAGATTGGGTAATGGACCCTGGCAACCTGGGCTGATAGCAGGCACCCAGGGCTCAAAACTATTTCATTTTACTGCCTAAATGGCACATATGTTACGGTAGTTTCTTGCCACTTGCACACAAGTTTGCAATTCAGCTCTGGATCCCCAAGTGTGCACACATCCACTGAGCAAATTGTGTGTTGTCAATAAGCTGTGCTTTGGCCAGGCAGGTACACAGCACAAAAAAAATAACCCAGTTACATGCATAAAGGTGGGTAAGTCCCAAATTATAGTCACAGAAAACCCATAACTAGCAGGTGTGAGGAAGAGAAGGGGAGTCCTTCTCTATTTTAGTCCAGTACCTTAGTGGCTTGGGTACTTGCCCATGAAGCGAGATACCCAGGTTCTAGGCCCCCAGTAACAAAAAGGGGTATTAAGCCCATTCCCTAGCACAGTGCTTCACAACCACTAGGCCAGAGGCTAGACATGATACAGGTCCTTTCTTAGCCCTCCTCTTGAAACTTGAATCTTGGGCAGTGAAGAGAGGGAGGCTAGAGAAGTATGCTTAGAGAAGTTGAAAAATCTCCTTCCTGGGAAATTTTCAAGAGCAGGATAGACACTTGAGCAGGGGGCTGGACTAGATCACTAGATGGTATCACAAAGTCCCTTCCACCCCGACCTTCCTATGATCTTAAGCTACAAGATGATTAGTGAGATGGTTGTTGCCTTACATGGGATGGACCCAGGGTTCTGGGCTGGGCGCCTACTCCCAAAAGCATCTCCATTTCTGCAATAGGTGAGTGTAGTGGGTTGCTGCCTCAGGGCTTCTTCAATAAGGCTTTTGGTGGAGACCCTGAGGTCTCTCCACAAGCTCCAGTAATAAACAGTCTTTTAACAAATAAAAGAAGTAAACATAAAGCCCCCTTATCGTCTTGGACACTGAGAGGGGTCCTGTGTGGCTTCAGCCTCTCCAGAGCAGGCTTGCCCTCCAACTAGCCCAGAAGTCTCCTATTCTGGTGCCTGACACCAGTCCCTCTGGTTTTTCTTGCTGAGGTTTGTGACTCCTAGTGAGCCTCTCCTCCATTAGCCTTCACACAGCTGCAGCCAGGAGTCAGGCTGGCTGTCTCCCTGCAAGAGAAGGGCTGGGAGAGACTGGGCAATGCTTAACATTTTGCAGGGAAGTGGGCTCAAATCCCTTCTGGATGAGAGGGATTTAGAACCCAGGTCTCCCACTCCCTAGGTGAGTGCCTTAACTAATAGGCTACTGGTACAAAACACAGAAGAGCTTATTCCCTCTTACTCCTCCTCACTTTGGGTAGAGCAAAACAGAATCCCAGACTGAGCACAGGTGTCAAAAACTGCAGTTATGTAGCTGTGTATGTGCCATTTAGATATGGAAAGTGAAATAGGATTTTGCTGTTAGTTTACATGGTTGATTTTTCCAGAGATTAGCAGAACTGAGATCAAATCTTGGCAGAATTCCACAAGTGCAAGGTCAGTGTAGATGCCCAGAGAAGATCCTTATCCTGCAAGCAAAGTAGAATAGAAGGGGGCTGAAAAACCCAGGGCCCGTGAGACTGAAATGGTCCCTGGCTTTGGCCCCTCTTATGTTATGACTCCTACCTTGGCATGCTGCCAATACCAAAGGGGAAAGTGGGTGGCTAGATTTATAGCAGCAAAGGACCTCATGCTAACACTATGCCAAACATGTCCCTTTATGCAGAGCTGGCATTACACCTGTGGGAGACTCTGGCAGATCTAAGGTAAGGATACATCCCTTTTCCCACTCATATGTTTGATGACCTTTAAAAACTTAGCTTAGACTAGGAGTGTAGGCAACTGCCTGGTGGCTCATCCCTGAAACTGGGTCTGCTTTCAAATAAGCGGGTGGAAGTCCCCTTTGTCCTGTCTTGTCACAGCACATAAGGTCCTTGAGGGAACCCTTCTGGACCACAGCCTTTAAACAATCATAACACAAATACACATGGACCCTGAGCCATTTCTTTTAGATCAGGTGAAAGGTGTCAGCATGGAATAGACAAGAGGATCACTCTTCAAAGCTGCTCTGTCAGGCCTCCAGTTTTGATCTCAGCTATGCTTTTGATTCCTGCTAAGGTGATGGAGATGAGAGATGTGCTGTTATTTCCTGAGAGGTGTCATGAGAGAAGAGCTTTAACTAAGCATCAGAGGAAACTGAAGGATGGTCTGAATAGCAAATGAAGGTGGTATCTACTACAAACACTAGTCGAGGCCCTCAAGAAAATGTTAACAAAATTACTGTTAAACACACAAACCCCAATAAACCTAACTTCATTGCTCTTCCACAGAAAGTGTTTTACTTCAATCACATCCCTAATCTATACATTCTTCACTTAGTTTGTCAGCTGTTCAGGGTGCTGATACTGTCCTCCTATTTGTAAAATATCTAGTTAAAATTTAGTGCTATGGAAATAGTAACATGACAGTGTGAGTATGGCTAGTTCAGCATGCCACTACTACAGGCATTGGAGTACAGCACCTGTCCACACACTCTTTCTAAGTACCTGGCTGATTTGTGAAGTACTTAAAAAGAAATAAGAGATAATTGGTGTAATAATACACAAGAGACCTTACAGTTCTTGGGGAACAGATTCCACCTTCTCAGCAAGTGTGCTGAACACACTGAAAATTATTCAGAATTCAGAGTGTCATTAGCACCTTAAATTGTAAAAGGCTGAATAACTGTATAAGTGTTCAAGCTGCTATGGCAGATTTCTGAAAGCCTATTATTTGTTTTCTAGATTTAGTGTAGAAAATATTATTACCATTAAAATGGCATTTCAGTATTTCTTGGCAGCATTGTCATCTTCTAACCCATAAAGATTTTGGCCGGCTTGCTTAATTTGTAAAGCACAGCTAATAAACAATAACAATGTCCTTTGCTTAGTTTTATCTGAACTCTTTTCGGTGGTAGGATGCCTGCTGCTCTTAGTCCAATTTATGGAACGATGCAGTAGAAAAATTCACATTTGTGAAAGCTAAATAAACCCATAGGAAAAGGAAGCTATCCATAAAGTCTCAACAAATATTCAGTGAATTAATTTCATGCCTAAATGAATTTAACAAAAAAACTCAAGTGCCTACAGGGATATGTGCATAAGATGTTTTTTAAATGCCAGCTTCACAAAAAGGCCTGTGGTAAAATAAAATAATAATGACATACTTCAAACTACCAGATTGTGTGATAAATCTTGGGTATTAAACCTGGATTTATGTTGCGACACAAATTGCCATTTGCAAAACTGCAAAAGCGTTTTAAAAATTTTCATTAATTTGCAAATGTTCCATTTAAAAACAAACAAAAAAACCACAGGGAAACTTCAAATAACAGAAACATTCAGGTTCACAGATACATATTTTTGTTCAATAAGTTATTTCTGCAGAGTCTCAATTAACAGAGTTAAAATAAGAGATGGACATAACGATTTGCCTTCCTCTTTGTGTAAAGGGAAGTAACTGGATCATAACTAATACACAGACTGGCTACATCAAGACAAACATGGCCATGTGGTGTTGCAGACATGTCCGTGATGCCACATAACACACATTCAGCTGTTTTCTGTGAGTTTTTTTTGAGCCCTGGATATCCTGGGGTCAAAAAACCCATACAAAAAAAAAAAAAAAAAAGCAGAGCAGTGCACACAGGGGCAGCATGAACCACTCAAAACTGGAGCCTGGCCAGGTAAAGCCATGCTCTGGCTGCTGGCCAGACTCCAAGTGGCTGGATCGCTATTATTGCAGCCACAGAAGCCCCTCCAGGAGCCCAGGTAAGGCTGCTGGCCCCTGCCCAGTGCTGGCCCCAGCCTCCCCTACCCCACCTAAAGTAACCTGCTGCAAGCCAGAGCACATGTGGCACAGGTATTCCCCAGAGACAACTAGAGGTGGTACAAGGTGTCCTGCTGCTAGTTGTCCCTGGGGAACCAAACGTCCGCACTCATTTGGCCATGGCCACCTTCTATAAAAAGACCCTGCAAGAGGCAATATTTTGGGCCAAATGTTTACAAGCTTTCCTAACTGTACCTGCAGTATTTGTGCACACATTGTTTTGCACACTAAAATGTGCCAATATAAGTTTGACAGAAGAGCCACTGCGCTACAAACATTCCCATCTTAAAAGGCTCAGAAGGCATAGGAAGCTGTCGGATATTTCCAGTGACCTTCAGGTTTTATCTTCTTGGCTGGGCCTACAATGCTCTGATCTTATGAAGCAGTGTGAATAGGTGAATGTGTGTTAGAGATCCTGGGAACACACCATCTGTGACAATTTGGGTTCTTCTATAGTCTGTAAAGTAATATTTGAATTTCACCCAGCTGGTGTTGCACCTAAAATGCTAAGCTGACTCTTCCAGGGTAACATCTGCCTTTTTGGTTAAAACAACTGGAAAATATGATTAACTGTTGAAGTAAACGTGGGTCAGGAGAGGGAAACAGATAGAACTGGCAATAAACCTTTTGATATCACTGAATATTTTATATGCCCAGAAGTGTAACTAAGGAGAGAAACTGTCTGTCTACTCACCGAATTGGTTATTCCTGCAGTGTCTCAGTGATCGAACAGTATCCGCAATCATGTGCTATAGTGATAAAACACACAAAATATCAGTGAAAAAATATTCTGATTGGGATGCTGTTGCTATAAAATACTTCTCTAGCCCCATACTACTGAACAGCAATAGTAGCAACACTGGAAAACATGGGCAGCAAAGCTTCAACAGGGGAGGTTTCTTTTTCTTTTTTCTCCCTTCCCTTTTTTTTTTGGCTCCATATTAACATACAGTTAAACAAGGTTATCTCTCTCAGGTTCCTTTGACAGAAGGATCTTGTTGACATAACACATTAAATGAGAGGGACTTCCTAGGCATCTATGGAAACTTGCATGAAAAAAGAGACATTCAATTATTTCTCTATTTCTCTTTCTTTTCAAAGAGAAACTGGAAATCCCTTCCTTTCCCCCCTTATGCATAGGATAGTAGTTTGTGTTCAAGTGTATTATTTGAGTAGTAGGCTTAAAACTGCTGTACAACAAATACACTTGTGACAGAGATACAAGATGTAATTTCTCTGATAAGGATTTATGCAGGTTTAATCACTTATAAATTGGTGAAGATGTTTCCCTTTTCAACCAAAAATTGATGCAGTCTGCGATGAAAGCATTAAGATCCATATGAACCTATCAATTCTGAGTAGTAGAGACTAATATTTAGAGGGTTAGAGTCAGCTATAGCTCCACTTGAAGTTAAAGGGCGTTCTACCCCTTTAAAAATGGCTGTGGAAGACTTCAGTACCCAAAATACTTGTGGGTCCATTGGACACAAAGGTGACACATCTTTCTGACACTACAACATCTACAGGCTACAATATATTAATCACACACTAAGTAGTACACTTACTAATAACGTAATGACATAACTTCTGTGTATCCATTAAATTAGTTCCTATAGATGAGAGAATGCCAAGGAAGAAAGCTTGGCTGTGGGTATTAATAAGAAAGCCTGGCATCAGATGAAGGACTTGTTTTTAACTCTCTATGATAAATACATGTAAATTGATTAATATATTTTACAAGGAAGTTATGAAATGGTGGCTAGCACAAGTGGCTTTTAATGTGCTAATCAGTCACTTGCCTGAACAATACAGAATATGAGTCAGTCCAGGTTAATATATTTGAACACCAAGTTACACTTAAGAAAAAGCTGTATTAGAAGAGTTTCATAGTTTCTAGGGTCAGAAGGGACCTGAGAAGATCATCTAGTCCGACCCCCTGCCATGGCAGGAAAGAGTACTGGGGTTAAACAACCCCAGCAAGGTGTTCATCTAACCTCCTCTTAAAAACCCCCAGGGTAGGAGCCTGCACCACTTCTCTTGGAAGTTGGTTCCAGACCCTAGCCACCCTGATTGTGAAGTAGCGCCTCCTGATATATAACCTAAACCTACCTTCTGCCAGCTTGTGACCGTTATTCCTGGTCACTCCTGGTGGTGCTCAGGGGAACAGTGACTCCCCCAATGCCTGCTGATCCCCCCTGACTAGTTTATAACAGGCCACAAGATCCCCCCCTCGGCCTTCTCTTTTGGAGGCTGAACAGGTTCAGGTCCCGTAGCCTCTCCTC